CTTGTATGTAGATAGACACGTACTTAGATAGACACGTACGTAGATAGGCACATACGTAGATAGGCACATAAGTAGATAGGCACATACGTAGATAGGCACATACGTAGATAGGCACATACGTAGATAGGCACATAAGTAGATAGGCACATACGTAGATAGGCACATACGTAGATAGGCACATACGTAGATAGGCACATAAGTAGATAGGCACATACGTAGATAGGCACATACGTAGATAGGCACATACGTAGATAGGCACATACGTAGATAGGTACATACGTAGATAGGTACATACGTAGATAGGCACATACGTAGATAGGTACATACGTAGATAGATACATACGTAGATAGATACATACGTAGATAGGCACGTACGTAGATAGGTACGTACGTAGATAGGTACATACGTAGATAGGTACATACGTAGATAGGCACATACGTAGATAGGTACTATGTAGATAGGTACATACGTAGATAGGTACTATGTAGATAGATACATACGTAGATAGATACATACGTAGATAGGCACGTACGTAGATAGGTACGTACGTAGATAGGTACGTACGTAGATAGATACATACGTAGATAGACACGTACGTAGATAGGCACATACGTAGATAGGTACGTACGTAGATAGGTACATACGTAGATAGGTACATACGTAGATAGGTACTACGTAGATAGGTACATACGTAGATAGGTACATACGTAGATAGGTACGTACGTAGATAGGTACTACGTAGATAGGTACATACGTAGATAGACACGTACGTAGATAGGTACATACGTAGATAGACTTGTATGTAGATAGACACGTACGTAGATAGACTTGTATGTAGATAGACACGTACATAGATAGACACGTACGTAGATAGACTTGTATGTAGATACACACGTACTTAGATAGACACGTACGTAGATAGACTTGTATGTAGATAGACACGTACTTAGATAGACACGTACGTAGATAGACTTGTATGTAGATACACACGTACTTAGATAGACACGTACGTAGATAGACTTGTATGTAGATAGACACGTACTTAGATAGACACGTACGTAGATAGACTTGTATGTAGATAGACACGTACTTAGATAGACACGTACTTAGATAGACTTGT